AAACGATTTCTCTCTCTCTCTCTCTCTCTCTCTCTCTCTCTCTCTCTCTCTCTCTCTTTCTCCTATGCGATTCCTCGATGGTATTTTAGATAAAATTGTTTCGAGCAAGAGGCGATTGTTCGAAACGGACACGAGTCGAGCTGTTGCGAAAACAACATCCTTGAACGATTAAAACGTTTGTCGGTTATCGACTGCAGACGTGGCGGAAATGCACAGAGGGACAGAGAAACTTGGTTATCTCGTTGAATTTCGAGTTGAAATTTTTAGCACGACTCTATACGAAGCTCGCATAGTATAGAGCGAAGTAAGGTTGCGGGTAAACAATCGGGAACCAGGATTAAGTTCGATAAACGTTGTTTTATCCACAGATGATCATACCCAACCTGACGATGAACAGCGTATACGAGATCGTGGTACGCGGAGGCACGCGGAGCGCTATCGACAATCGGCTGATTATACGCGGAGAAGGCTCTGCTCCACAGAAGGTGCGCGGCATTCGCGATTGCAACAGAGCACCACCGTTATTGCCACATACCACCATATGGTTCAGCAGCGGAGTGATCGCCGGGATGATCTGCGCTTGTCTCGCGGTGATGCTGATGATCACCTCCTTCGTGCTATGGAAGTGAGGATCAACCGTTTATTTCCTCTCTACATCTTTTATTTTGCACGATATCGTTCCTCCTCCTTCTCCTCCTCCTCCTCTTCTTCTTTTTTTCCTTTCTTTTTTTTCTCTTTTTCTTTCTCCCTCTTTTTCTTTTCTCTCTCGAAGTCTTTCGAATTCGAAGACGAAAAAAAGGGATGGCGAGAGAAGCGAGAATTTGTAAAATCGCGATACTCCTCCGTTCCCGTTGCCGAGGCCCACAAGACACAAGCACGCGACACAAGCCGTGGCCACACAGGCTCGTGTTCACTCATTCAACTTTGCGAACGCTATATCTCTGCCCCATCGCACGATAATAGGCATTCGTTCGTCATCGTGCAATTACAAACGATCCACGATGCAGTCACGCAGTATTAAATGGCACGCAGTCGGTGCGCCGTGCGCGATTAGTTCGGTCGGCGAGCGTTCAGTGTACCGGCTGGTCTCGTGGTATTTAGACTGACCGCGCAATATCGTCGTTAATGGGACAGGGGAAACAATTACACGAACGGTGAACATTCGGTTTTCTCTCTTCGAGTAGGTGCTTCTCGGATTCGCCTCTCTGCCCTCCCCTCCCAACCCTTTCTTTCCTTCGATCCCCGCAATCTTTCTCCTTCTCTATCGCCGGCTGACCTCTTATCGTTCGCGATAACGGCAAAGTAAGAACGACGAAGCGAGGCTTCTTTCAGTTCGTGCCGCGGCGTTTCGTCGAGCGGATCGTTACGTTTCCCCCGTTCGCGCGGTGTGTGTGTGTGCAGTGCCTATCGTCGAACGATCCGATAGTCGTGTGCCAAAACACGTGCCGTCGCGACCAATCTCTCTCGTATTTTTTCGCTCCCCGATTCGTATTTCGATCGCCATTGTCCAAGATATATATTCAAGGACGTCGATTCGACCGTGATACCTGTACGCGCGATCGTACTCGCGGGGGAACGATTCGTAAAGAAGGAATATTTTCTGGGTCACGGACGGCCAGCCTCGGCTCTCTGCGTTCCTCGCTCTCCTAGTCTATTCGAGGAACGTTTACCTTACCATTCTTCTTGCTCTACCGATCTTGGAAATTTTCTCTCTGCGAAACTAGAATGGATAGTGAGAGAAGCTCGTCGACGGGATGAAGAAGTTCCTCGAACTGTGAGTTGCGAGAGTAGAAACGGGGAAAGATTCGTTTCTCTCTTGCGTAAATCTTTTTCTTCTTCTTCTTCTTCTTCTTCTTTTTCCATTACGAAAAATGGTCGATGAACAAAGAATACGGAGATTTCTCGCGTGTATGTACGCATCGGTTGTATGTACATCGATGGATCGATCGTAAACGATAACGCGAAAAGGAAACAAATCGTAGGTAACCCGTGTCTTTTATCGCGTTCAAATTATTGCGCTTTGATAAGGATATAAGTTTTACGAAAGAAGGT